CACAGAGAGCAAAGAAATCTCCCAGTACCTAGAAGACTACATAACATTGCTGGCAAGGCAAAGGCCAGTAAACAGTGGGAGCACTGGGGAGCAAAAATGTCATATAAAATAAATGTTGTATGTTGGTAGTAGTTTTAGCCCGGGGGAAAGGGGTGTTATGTCCCGAGCCTTTGCAAACGGCTCGGGCGTTTGCAGGCAGTCCCGGGCAGGTGCAAAGCTGCCCGGGACCAGACAGGCTGTCGCCAGCGCCGTGCGCATGCGCGGGTGCTGGCGCGGGAAAAGTAACCCATTTACCCGGGAGTTGCCTATATAAGAGGCTGCGAGGCGTTTGGGCGAGGCTGAAGCCATCTTCCTGTAAGCTGAACGCTGAATAAAAGAAACTGAGAACTCCAGCTGCTTCTCGTGTCTGTTTTCCCGCCAAGGACGCAACAATTACTAAAATGACAGAAGGGAATAGGTCCAAATATTCCTTTATTTTCTTTATTGGAAGGAAAAGGGCATTCTGTAAGAGATATTGTAAAAAAAAAAAAACCTTGAATTTATAACTCAGAAATCTGGGGTCAGATAAAAAAGAAAGGGTAATTTTTCAGAAGGGCATGGAGCTCAACTCTTTTTTTATTTCTCTTTTTCTTTTACCAAAAGTGTCCCTGGAATAACATTCTGAAGACCCTCCAAGCAAAATATGGATCAGTTAGTGCTAAAGAGCTAGGTGTCAAAAGAACTATAAGTTAAAACCAAATGTCAATATAATAGAATATTTAAAAATGCAGATCAAGAGTATAATAATGAGAATTAAGAGTAAAATAGAACACGGATTCCTTGGTGCTCTGTGAGCTTGATTACTTATTTGCAGATGTTTCATAACCTGACTAGGTAACATTATCAGTGCTAGAAGTGGTGTTTGCTCTGTTTATATACAATAGATTTCCCTGTCAGTGCTGTTGGGATGTTGTTTTCTCTTTGGTAAATCCTTGATTAGGATACTGTTTATTGCTGGATTGTTTGCCTGGTACTGCCCCTCATGTAAATCTCTGCCTACTTAGGTATTGACTGCTGGCAAGATGCTCTAGTTTCTTTGTTTTCTTTTTAGCTTTTTTATTGTCTCTTTTTTAATGATTTATGTCTGGCACAAGTAACCAGGAACAGGAGTTGAGTTCAAAGCACAAGAATATGATCTACTAATGGTCAAGTCAAATTGGCACTAGATAACAATCAATTGAATTCATGGGGAGGGGAGGCTAGGCGTATATCTCTTGTTGCTGTGTAAAGATTCCAAACTGATGCACATTTGAACTACTAATGGTCAAAGCAAATGGGATAGATTTAAATCTCTGTGGGTACGAAGGGACTCATAACTGATTACGTGTTTGACCCCCTTCCTCAGGCTCAGCCTGATCATCTTCTACATCCTGTCTGTCATGCAAAGTGACTGTTATAATCCTTACACATTTTATTGTAGATAACTCCTTAATTTACTTAAATTGTTTTGGAAGCTTTAATTTGTGCTATGGTGATGCCATGTGGTTGTAATAGTTGCTTTTGATATGAAATGAAGCAGAATCAGAAGAAGGGGTGTAAAAAGTAAGTTGGGAATCAGGATGAAAGACTAAGGATGTTGGATTCAGGTTCAGGAAGCCAGTAGATCTCCACATTGAAACATAAGTACTCTAATCATCAATTCTTTCTTAGAGGATCCATAACTACAAGTCTGAGTAGCAGGGCCATTCCAGAGCTTAAGGAAATAAAATTGCCTAGGTCAATGCTATTGCTTGTAGTTTGCTAGGTTATTTATCCAGAAACAACTATGCAGTGAGGCTTCATCAAAATGCAGCACTATTCCTAGAGGATTCTGATGAGATAGGCTGAAATTGATCTAAAGGTCTCCAATCAACAGGAAAAGCATTGCTGAGGCCATAAATGCTAGGAAGACAATTTTCAGGACACAATGTAAAAAGAAAGAATTGTCCTCTCTTTATCAATGATATTGGCCCAAAAAGGCTGTTAGGAAATATCTCTGCTATCTAAAATGTCTGAAATGTTTGACAATATTATATGGTTTTGTGAGTTGGCGTCAACTGTTAGGGATATCAGAAAGGTATTCATTTTTGTTTTGGTATACTCTTTGTGATATGTAAAATATACTATGTGAACTAAATCTGCTAATTCCTCTCTCTTTTTAATCAGTATTGTGCTACCAAGTTCAAGATTCATATTCTATATGCAATGTTACCATGAACCAAATGGCAAAAGATGCATACAAAAATCAGGTTTATTGTCACCATACTCGAAAGAAAAAGAAAAGAAAAATAATAATGAACAGACAGTCCAAACCTAGACATGTCTGCATACTAATATTCCAAGGAATTAATTTTTATCCTTGAACTTGAGTAATTGACTTATTCAAGTGAAAGATCAAAGCATTATTTAAATGTACTCTATTATCTTCATTAAACAAATGTGTATGGTAAGGGTGAAACTCAGCTTGTTTTAAGCTCTTGAATTTTTTATTGGTCTGGAATTTAAACCCATAATTTTGGTATCCTGGGTTGACATTCTCCCCCTTTATTCAGGAATCAGTTTTTAAAAATTAACATTCCTTCCAGACCTTCACTGAATTTTTGCAGATTTTATCATTTTTGTGATGTCCATAAAGACATTATATTCTCTCAATGGGTAGAAAATATGCTACACTTTACTGTGTGAAATGGGACAAGATAATATATATTTAATATGTTAACATTTTGGTTTGGTGTACAGAAAGATTGAGCAGAGTGATTCCAGTTTAAAAATGCAGCATGTGATCCCAAGAAGTTCATTGGGCTCCTTCACAACCCATCATATAAATTCACATTTACACATTCCTGTGCTATGGTATGTAAGTCTTTTTTTCCTTCATAAGCGGACACACACTTCATATTTTACACACAATCAAAAATAATTACCAGTTTATATTTATTTATAATCTTCTGAGGTCACTTATCATTGATATTGTTCTACAATGTGCCTCTTAGGTATATTTTTCTCTTAATAATTTATTTCACTTAATGATTGACATTCACTGTAAATATATTTGCAAAATTCCTATCCCTTATTTTTTGGATTGGGAGCCACACATTTGGCCTTAGAGTGGTGTCATGGGACTATAAGAATTTCATTTCATTTTATTTACGTGCAATTGAAGTGTATATTTAATATGATTACTAAGCAGTCAGGTATTTTGTAATGTTTCCCTAACGTCAAATAAAAAGCTACAATTTAGTAAGAAAATCTGGTGCTCTGGGACTTGGAGCCTGCTTTGTACCAGTCAACCCAAAGGCATCTCTCCCAAAGGAGCAATCAATTAAAAAAGACAATGCTGACTCAGAAAATAACTGGCATCAAAATATTATGCACAATACAGGAGCCATCACATAAAAGTGTCATGTTAAAATATATTATGAGTCTTATTTGACAATAATTTACAACCATTTTATCAACTGAAAGCTTCTTTTGCTGAATTATAAAGATGTTATTAGCCAGATGGAACAAAAACTGGGGGTGAGAAGGGACAATGGGTATTGTGGGAAGTCAGCCCCAGAAGGAAATATTTTGGGGAATATTAGAAAGACAAAATATTATATTTCTCCCAAGGATCTTAAATGGCAGAAAAGCAGGCCCAGTTTTTCTTAATAGTCCCAGGCAGAGGCCAGCTCTTTAGAAATGCAGATTTGATAATCCCATTCAACCCCATTCATGAGCAAATAGTACGTGCAGAAGCCCATTCAAGACAGGACCTTTCGAAATCTCTTGGAGTAAGAGTTGATAGCTAACAATAGCAGATTGATAGAATTAGAACCAGTAACCCCTCACTCAAAAAATCCAACACAGGACATAGCCATCAGCCACAGCCCTAGGGAAGCAGGACATCACCTTTAGGACACAATAGGATTAACCCACCACCATCAGAATACTAAAAGGCCATGCTCAGGTCAAAGTTTATACCACAGGAATAGGAACAGCTCCAAACACAAAAACCCAAGAAGGTATAAAAACCCAACACTCCCAGCACCATGTGGTCAGCCACCCCAGAAAAAATGCTGCTATCACTGAAGTTTCTGGCAACTCAATAAATAAGAACCTTCTTTCCTAAAGCAGTCTCCATTTTGTTTATTCCTGGCTTGGACTGGATCCTGATGAAGATTTTTCTTCCAACAGTATTATTATAGACTTGGTTTCTTTGCAGTCTTTGATTTTGATAAAGCAAACATTTTATGCAAGGTGGAGTTGTTGTACAAGTTTCTCATATAAAGAATCAACATTTATTTAAATCTCTGGAAGAGAATCATAAACGTTACTGATACTACACTTCCCACCAGACTCAGTGGGATTTTATTTTGAATAGGCATGAAGAACATTTTAAAGTCTTTGAAGACTTCAACCTTTCCACGTCCAAGAGTTTGTTTAGGAAATGCTTCCTAAGGGAAGCACATATTAAAAGCAATTTTTTAAAATTCAAAATACACTCTCAAGTTATAAATCTTCAACTGCTTGATGCATGATAGATTTAAATGTGAATGACAGCTCTGGAATTTTCTCCCATGACTGAATCACTCCCTAGAGATTTATGGCACAGTCTGCCATATACAGTATTTACTAAAATTGCAATGAAAATATCATCCCACCTTAGTTCTGGCCTTCCTGGAAGTATAGAAAGGGAAAATAAAGCATTTTAAATGATGATTTGTCTAGAAATTGATAAATTCTTTAAATATTTGACATTTAAGAGACATTTATGTCATCACAAGGTGTTCTTTTTATGATGTCCCAGGACATGCTTTGGTCTCCCCAGTTATCTCCAAATTTGAAGGTCACACGGATAAGTGTTGTTTTTATTACTTTGTAAGGGATGCAAACCCCACACAACTGTGATACAACTGTGCAAAATGTTTAATTAAATATTTTATTGTCCTATCTTTTCCTTTTTTAATAATAAATTGTTGTATTGAATAATTTCTCTTTTTTACTGTAAACACTAGTCAAAGACCTTAATAAAGTTAATTGATTTATAATAATAATGATAATAAAGTTGGAAGGGACCTTGGAGGTCATCTAGTCCAATCCCCTGCTCAGGCAAGAAACCTATACCATTTCAGACAAATGGCTGTCCAGTCTCTTCTTAAAAACTTCCAGTGTTGGAGCATTCACTGCTTGTGCAATTGTCCATTGGTTAGGAGACCCGTGTGCTTCCTTGTGCAGTTGGTTGGTTGGAGTCTGATCCATTGCTGATGTTCTTATATTCTCGCTCTGAAGTATATGCAGCTAACATTCTCTTTCTCATCTTCAAGGCATTTACATGCTTAGCACATCAAAGCATCTTCTGCATTTGTAAGTAGACACTATTACTTTTGGTCCTTTTAAAGCAACTCCCTTTTTGTCAGCCAGACCACTTCACCTTAATGAAATATGTTTGCAACTCTTCCAAGAATCCATGGGAATTATTAAAATATTGGCTGCCTGTGTGAAACATAATATAAACAATAACATTCTTTTTCTGAGATGAAATAGAAATATTAATTTACAGGCAATTATTCTTTTTTGTGATGGAATAGAAATATTAATTTACAGGCAATTTGGCTAAGAACTGCATGGAACAATAATAAAGTGTAAACAACAAACAACAACAATTAATCACGGTCCAAAAAAACCAAGAGCACAGGATTATAACCTGCATATTTCAAGCATGTATTTATTTTTAGAACTATAATGGTCATAATTTTATGCAACATTGTGATCTGGATCCTATAAATTTTGTTCCATTGTCTTATATGACGTTCTGGAACCAGATGTACCAGCAGTTTTCAATACTAGTATTGATTTTGATAAATTGCTAGGAAATTGGACTTCTGCCACTATGTGAAAAGTTAAGCTTTAACCTTTAAAATTATTGATTTTTGTTCACAGAAAAGTAGAAAAAATATTTTTCTTTCAAGATTAAAATTATTCTTTATGCTACATGGACATCTATGATCCATTATCATTTAAAAGGATGTATAAACATTTTTTCTCTTTCTCCAATTTAAACAATTCAAAAAATTAAATCTGAATCAATTATGAGCATTGTATGAAGAATAAGTTAAAACTTTAATCTGGCTTAAAGTACATATCTTTGAAGGAGTGCTTCACTTTGACAGAGATTCAAGTGAAGTATCCCCATGAAGCACTTTCTGAAGCAAAGTGTAATCTCATTTCTAATCAATGTAGCAGAAGAGCCACAACAGCTTTTGTGCATGTACATTGCATGCTCAGAAGCTGCAGTTAATCAAGACAAATTGTCCCCATCTCAACTCTTTATCAAGATGGAACAACAGGCCTCTTCAAGGCATTACACATGGCCATGGTTCAGCAAACCTCTTCTACATGACAAAGCACCTCATTGAGGCAGATCATCTCCTGGTGGGTCAAATGTCAGCTTATAGTCCCATCTATTGCCATGGTTGCCTAAAATACACAAAATAAAGTGTAATGTATTAGAATCAATCCAGTTGGAGACAATTGTATATATTTTTGTGTACATTCCTAAAACATATGCATGCACACATCCCTACCTACACATAGACATCCATATATATATGTGTGTGTATACACACACACACACACACACACACAGCCGCGAGAGCGATTGTGGGTGCGCCAAGGTACGCCCACGTGTCACCTATCCTCCGCGAGCTGCACTGGCTTCCTGTGGGTCTCCGGACGCAATTCAAGGTGTTGGTTATCACCTTCAAAGCCCTTCATGGCATAGGGCCAGGTTACTTACAGGACCGCATTCTGCCGCACAGCTCCCAGAGACCGGTGAGGTCCCATAGATTGGGCCTCCTTCAGGTCCCGTCGGCCAGACAATGTCGGCTGGCGGGCCCTCGGGGAGGGCCTTTTCTGTGGTGGCTCCGACCTGGTGGAATCAACTTCCCCCCGAGGTTCGAACTACTCCCACCCTGCCGGCCTTTAAGAAAGCCATTAAAACTCTCCTGTTCCAGCAGGCCTGGGGCTGATGTCCCCAGGGGGCCGGGATATGATCGGACTCGCGGTATGACTGTATTATTTTATTGTTTTATGATTGTTTTAACTTTGTACGCCGCCCTGAGTCCTTTGGGATTGGGCGGCATATAAATATTTGAAAATAAATAAATAAATATATAAAAGAAAAGGTTTCCTTCTCCAGTTGTGTCCAAGGCAGTGCTCATCACTGTTTCTTGGCCAAGGAAGGCAGCAATGTCCAAAGACGCTTCCATGGTCATGTGGCCAACATGATTATATGCCAAGGCTCACAGAACACAGTTACCTTCTTATCAAAGTGGTTGTTATTTATCTACTCACATTTGCATGCTTTCAGACTGCTAGATGGGCAGCAGCTGGGGCGAGTAATGGAAGCTCAATCTGTCATGCAGCACTTAGGTCTTGAACCCAGACTGTCAACTTTTCAGCTGACAAGCCAGCTCAAACCCTAAGCCATTGTGCCCCCTAATGAATATATACTTGAAAGATATTGAACTTTGTTTTCTTTTCTCAGTATTTGTTGTATTGTTTTAAAATGTACACACACACATACACACACACACAATACAACAAATATTGAGAAAAATAAACAATACTTATATCTTTCAAGTTATGTGACCTCCAACTAAGTTGGGTCTACAACTCCCAGAATGGAAACTCTTAAGATTTACAGCCTGCATATACACAGAAAAACTCAAAAGGAAAAAGCTACACTATGAAAACTATTAAAGTGATCAAACATGTATCAAATATTTTATTATTTATGTATTATTATTTTACTGTATTCTTGTAATCTTTGTTTCTTCCCAGAACTCAAGATGTACTTATTCCTTCATTTTTTCCCCCACAACTGTAACTTTATGAAATAGATTGGGTTATTAAGACAGATTGTGCAGTATGATAATTAAGAACAATATAGAATTTTACTTGTGAGATGAAGCTGAATTTCCTATTCTCTATTAGATCAGAAAGATGATTGATAAGTTAAAAGGAATAAGATATGAAATAATAATAAACTTGACATTGACATACTTTTCTATTCTTATGATGTATTTTTTAAAGATACAAGCTTTATCTTTGGTGTTTATGTGATTTTGATTCACCGCTATATTCTATTATTCTGATTTCTGTACAGAGATGGTTAAAATAATTTGGGGGCAGGTGTGTGTGAGCTAGGCTTTCAAAATGGTCCTCTCCCAAAATGGCTTAGTCATTCCAGTCTAGTTCAGTGCCCAGAGTCTTTGCACAATTCTGTCTCCCACAATCTAGTATGCAAGCTTCAATATTTTGTTTTTCAGCAGACTGGATCAAATGTACTTACAAATTGTAGAAGATATTAATTGGATGAAGTTTTTAGGCCCATCTTCTGAAAAATCTGTTTGGAAGGAAGGCAGCAAGCAAACAAATGTTCTTCTTTAGATAGAATTTGATTGAATTGCTAGTGATAAAAAATCCTACAACAAAGAACAAATTTCAGACAGATATATTCAGAGAATTTTGTCCAAAGTTAAAGGATATTTTCAAGCTATAATAATATATTTTTGCTGAAGGAATGTAATTGATGATCCCTTTGGTCTTTGTCAATAGTAAGTCAAATCAGTGAGCTAATACAGCTGACAAAATAGCATCATTGATTTTCTCAAGTCATGAGACTGGGCAGCAGTCAGGTGAATGTTCAAGATCTCTAGAATCCTCACAAAATATTGTGACTGGAGAAATTCAAATTTTAGGAAGACTTCTCTTTCATTCAACCTCATTTACCTCCCCAACATTATATTTTATTTTAAACATCTTTCTTCTTTTTTTCACAGCTGTTGCCAAATAGCTTCTTAAGTATTCTTTTACAGAACAAATAGTTCTTTATACATTATTCTATAGAACTCTGAAGAAACAAATCAGGAACATAGCTTTGCTGAGATCCTCAATTAAAATGAAGTAGGCTTTATTCCCTTCTCTGTTTCACAACTGGATTTTGGCCAGACCAGATATGTGTCTCTAGTTCAGAGCCTGCTATTTATCATTCTAAAACACAGAATCTAAAATGTTTGAGTTATAAGAATGCAAGTCTCATGTATGTCCAACTGTGTCAAAATCTCAGGCTTTGAATTTCACATAGAACTATTTTTACCTGGGGCATTTCAATGGAAGTATCATGAAACTTTGAAGACCAAAAATTTCTTATCTGATATAGTTACTTTAAAGCAAAAAGATCTTAGACATCATTTGATTTATACACTTTCCTTGAAGTTACAAAACCAAAAAGCTTTCCACTGTATCAGTTTGTCATTATTTGTGTTGGTCTGCTATGCCATAAAATGTTGAAATATAGCATCTCATACCTATCAAGCTAATAGTTCCATGATCTTAACATCTCCTCTTCTTCAAACATTTTAGCCTCCAAAGGGCTCTAAACTCATGCCTTAATGTACCCATACTTTCTTAATCCAGTACATCAACCTGATGGAATAGACTGTCTCCCTCCAAACTGAAACTGCAATAAATCAATTAATCACAAAATGTGGTTTTGCACTCCTTAGTATATATTGGTTTATTCTGAAAACATAATGCACTTAAATCTATGCGGACTCATGAAAAATAACACTGTCCTTATTCAAAGTATTTATTTTTATTGGAATGGAAATGGAGGCCATTATCTACTTATGACACTTTTTATGAGCATTGTTTAAAATATATCACAGAAACTGTTTTGCACAAGGCATTACTATAAAATATCAGGCTCCCGCATTTTGGTCTGAGATATCATCTTGAAACCTATTTAAAAATAATTGACCCCAAAATGTGTCCTTCTCTGCAATAATTACAACTCACAGTGAATCCTTCTTAAAATTGAAACAGCCAAAAAGGAAGCATATGTATTTGTCACAGGTTCAAATCTTTGATGATGGCAATAAACTCAAAACTCAATTTTGCATCCAAATCAACTGGTGGCACGACTAATTTTATTAACAAGTTATTTACAAAATAATTGGGATTTAAAATTGTTTAGTAATATGTTAGAACAGTGAATTATATCACCAAGCCTACTTTCTTAAGTTGGTTTTTTGCAAGTTAAAGGGTTTTACTTTTCTTAACTATTAGGAGTGAGTTTTTTCCATTTCTCCATTTCTTTCCATGCTTTAGTATTACTTTTATGAAGCTGAAAACACTAAGATACATAGTGGAAAGACAATAACTTATTTATATTGCAAGCCTTTTTCTTAATGGGACAAAGATAAAGAATTTACTACATTTAACTCATTTCAATATCTTCAAGAGAATTACAGGACAACACTGAGGGATTTGACTATAATGAAACTACTGAATATCGGTTAAGTACAATTTATAAACTGTTATTGAAATATACGGTAATTCAGAATTCGTATTTTATTTTTATTGGAAAAGACATAATGAAATTATGAGAGTATGTCCAATATAATGTGTACTTAAAATGTAAATCTGATGTAATTCTATTTGGAAACCATTCTTGGATTATAAAGTTATATATGATTTTGTGCCACATCAGAGATTTCAGTTTTCTTTCCAATAGAATCATATTTCTACTTGATTTATAATTCTAGGTATTGAATTATTGTAATGGGTTTTTTATGTATTCAAGTTAGTCTTGACTCTGGGCAATGGCCTGGAGAAGTTCCTGCAGTTTTCTTTGCAATGTTTCAGAAGTGGTTTTCCATTGCTTTTTTTCTAGGTCTGAGAGATGTGATGGCCCAAGTTCACTCTAGGTCCTATCTCCATTGTTCCTTTGCTTTCCTTCTCTGGAAATAACAGTGACCACCTGAAATGGTAAATATGAGAGTCACATACAATGGAAAATTCGTGTCCAGGAACCACTGAGTATCATTAAAGATGCAACATAGAGAGTTTGTTTTAATAGATTTCTCATAAGGTATCTATCATCCTGCTATGTCTTGACTCTATGTCACACTCTAAGCCAACTGAAAGGTGATACTAATAGATTGTGTTTGTAAACTAATGAATGAATTGCTGGACACGCTTACAGATCTTGTGAAAGCCAGCCTCTTGACCTCCCCGTGTTAATGAGTTAACCAATGGGAAGATGAGCATGAAAGCTAAGCAGAATTAATTGATTACTATGTCACAGAGTCCAGGTTACCTTCTGCTGTGCAGTAGATTTAGTCTGACAGTACAAATGAAAAAGGGAGAGAATATCATAGAAGGCAACATCAAAGCCATCAGTTTGCAGGGGAAAGCTATTGAAAACAAGACATGCTGTCAGGGGGATAAAGAGAAAGGTATTGAACTAGCTACTAGCTATTGGTTCCAACAGTATGATAGAAGAAAAGGGATAGCTGATATTTTTTCTCTCAAATTGTACTTAAAGCTGGATTGCGAAAGCAGTTACATACAGTTTTACAAATTTGTTCAACACAACAAAATCTTTAATGGCTGAGATAAATAAAAGAAAGAGTGGTGCTCCTTGCAGAAAACTACCTGCTACAGAATATTCTATGCTATCTCCCTGAAATTTTATTTTTATTTTAAGTAATAGTCTTATTTACATCTATATGCAAAAGCCCTCCACTGATTAACATTTTTTTTATCAGTGAGGAAAAACATCTAGAATTGTACTCAGCTTCTATAAAAACTGGCAGTGGGATATATATACAATAAAATACATATACAACCAGAAATGCTCATATAGCCAAATCTGTTTGGCATGCAAACTTTTGCCATTTTCATTTGTCTTCATGAGATTCCATGTATTTTGTTTTTAATTGTTGGTTTGGTTTTTTGAGTTGCTTTGAACTCTCATGATATGATGGTCTGTAGGACCAATTCTGAATTCATTATGAATATTTTCTTATTATGGGTTTCTTTTAATAATTGGATGTATGTGTTATGTTTTACATGATGTTTTAATGTATTTTATTTTAACTTGCTAGGAGTCAAAATGATTTAGTAGCATGATACCACTACTACTACTATTGCTACTACTAGTACTTTAGAAAGAAATCTTATCAAGTTCATTTCTGAGTTTGTGAGCCAGGAAAACAAGTACTACTACTATTACTACTACTACTACTACTATTACTACTACCTCAATTTCTTCTACTACTGCTACTACTACTACTTTAGAAAGAAATCTTATCAGGTTTGTTTCTGAGCCAGGAATACAACACACAGACAGTTGTTTGAACCAGTGGTGAAGTTTATTTCCAAGAGCGCAGTGTACATAATCAGCAGTTAGAAGTAGAGTCTTTCCTAAGACCTCTATATATAGACAAATCTGGCCTTTGATCCTTGAAAGCAGTAAAGTGTGCCCTTTAGAAATCCACAAAAGTGTACTTAACCAGCACTCCAAGAGGAAATACTTTGCAGTTAGGCACTCTGTGAGTTGCAGTTTCTACTTGTTTAGCACTTGTTGACTGAAAACAGTAATTTCTTCAGGGGAAATAACTATTTTCTTTATTTTATCAAAGAAACCAGGCCAAGCTCAAACTGGTTGCCCTTTTATTGGTGTCTTCTGTTGCATTTTAAAGTTTGTCTAGAGCTTATCCTAATTTTTGATTTTGAACCTTTTGTCCTGATTATAGTGGGAAGGATGTTAGGAGGAAGGATTTGATTTCTTTCCTATAACCTCAAAACCAAGCAAAGATAATACCAATAGTAATAGGCACCTTGGGTGTAATCCCAAAACACCTGAAGATTCACTTGAACACCATTGGCATTGACAAAATCACCATAAGTCAATTGCAAAAGGCAGCTTTACCTGGAACAGCTTACATCCTGTGACAATAGTTTTAATATCATCAAACAACATCTACCTATCTCAAATCCTTGAAAAGAACTCAATAAGTGAATAAAGGTAAAGGTGTCCAGTTGTGTCCAACTCTAGGGTACTGTGGTCATCTCTATTTCTTAGCCGAGGGAGCTAGCATTGTCTGAAGACACTTCTGTGATCCTGTGGCCAGCATGACTATACACAGAAACACAAGGAAACTGTTATCTTCTCACCCAGGTGGTACTTATTTATAAAAAAGCCAAATCTAATCTAAATATATGATTAATTGTGCAAACAACCATAATAATAAGTTGATACAGACATTGATGTTGATATATGTATAAATAGTTGGTTAGAATTTCCAGTGAAATTAAAGGAAAAATAGATGTTGTAAAAATAATTACTGCTTCAAGATAGATATAAGATCTTACTGTAGGTTGATTCCTGTCTTAAGGTCATATTAACATAATTTAAATAGATTGATGAATATTAAAGAAGTTTTATTTTACATTTATCTAAATTATTATTTTCAAATGATGAGGGGATTTCAACTTTGTCTGCTTTCAAATTTAGCACAAGCAGATATTTTTATTTTTATCTCCTTACAGTATATTATATAAGAAATCAACTTCAAGTGACTAAATGTTTTTCATTGAGACTGGTCTATCAGGGCAA